TTTTTGTGTGGTCGTAGAAATGTCATGGCAAATCTGAAGACAATTTTATATTATATGATTTTCACAAGAATTATTTCCCGGCAATCACAACACATCACTCAAAATAATTCTGATCTGTGTGTACAACGCACAATCCAACACACACACATCACACAATTCTTATAATTAGCCATGGCTAATCATCTTCATCATTAAATATTTGAAATGAAAACAAAAACGAAATTGATGGCGTGGTTTTGAATGCTTTTATGACTTTTCTTTCACCCAAAAGAAAAAAGTGAAAAAATCAGGAATTCTTAAGAAATCGATGAATTGCAGACAGTGAAATCCCTCCTCCATCATCACCACGGTTCTGTCGCTGCCACCAAAAAATGTTTATGCATTTTCCTCCAACTCAACTGTTGTTGGTTGGTTTGTTTGTTTATTCCGTACAAGATTGCTTTGGACAGGGCAATTGTGTTTGGACTTTCTTTGTATTTTTCTTCTCTTTTTTTTTTTTTTGATCGACTGAGACTTTTTTCAAACAAAGGCATTGATTGTTGAACAGTTTAATGACTTTTATTTTAATTTTTTTTACCTCCCACCCACTTCTAGGCATTGTTAATATTGCAAAATAATTCCTTATTTGGCTTTAAGAAAATATAATGATTTTTATATCATCCACCATAGTATGGAGGGTATATTAAGTTTGTCATTCCGTTTGTAACACCTCGAGATATACATTTTAGGCCCCACAAAGTATATACAAGTTGAGATGAAAAAACTGCAACCAACTTCAGACTGCTGTCATTTCTAAGCCACTCGTCCGACAGCTGTTAAAATTATTCCAGTGACAGCTCATTACCTTGTTTACAAGCGTACAAAAGCATTTTGGTGAGAATTTTCCAGCAAAAAGTTATTCGTGAAGGAATTCAAGCGTGATTTCCTTACAGTTGGCTGGCAAACCACAAGTGGCTATCGTTAGAGCACTCCAGCATTTAAATGGGAATAAATCTTTTGTGTCTCGTACCATCGCTCGTTATCGTGATACTGGTAGCGTTGCCCGACGTCAAGGAAGTGGACGGAAGAAAACAGCAACATCAGCAGAAATGGTTCGAAAAGTAAAGAAGCGACTTGATCAAAACCCTCGTCGCAGTGGACGAAAAATGGCTCGTGAGCTGAACATATCGAAATATTCCATTCGGTAAATATTGAAAAAGGAGCTCGGGGTAAAGAAATTGAAATTCCAAAAAGTGCAAGAACTTACACCGCAACAAAAAGAATATAGACTCAATAGAGCTAAAGAGTTGCTTCGCTTGGCCGAAATTGGTGAATTGCCGAATTTGGTTTTCTCCGATGAGAAAACATTCGTTGTCCAGCAGTTTGTACACAAGCTGTTTACGTGATCGTGTTTACTTGCCAAAGAGGTCAGCTGAAAATGTGCACCTTTGGTTGGCCACCAGAACTCAAGCGGCGGCCGTGGCATCAGAATAAATGCCCAATATTATCGCGAAAATATTCTGGAGGATGTATTAAAGCCTTGGGCACGCAAACATTTTGGCCGCAGACCTTGGCCAGCGCACAATGGCCACCAAAATCGCCGGATACCAATTCGTTGAACTTTTGTGCCTGGAGTATTTTGGAAAGCAAGGTTGGGACTAAAAAATACCAAAGTGTCGATCACCTCAAGCAAGCGCTTCGCCGAAAATGGGCCAAAATACGCAAGGCAACATTCGGGCAGCATGTGAAGGTTTCATTGGCCGTTTGAAGGCCATAATTCGTGTCAAAGGTGACCAATTTGAACAAATCTAAACTTATTTTAAAATTTGATGCTATTTCCGACATTTTTTGCTTTTATTTAACAAAATTAAAAAAAAAATGTAAAAGTTATGGCGTTTGACTTTGTTGCAGTTTTTTGCATCTTACCCTGTATATCCTCTGTGGGCATAAATAAAACAAGTAAAAAAGCTGTAAGTTCGGTCGGATCGAACTTTGAATACCTTACACCATTTGCTACAAACTTGGCAATTTTCAAAAAAATAAAATCCGTTAAAATTTCTGTTAAAATCTTAAAAATACCGAATGTAGCCGTATATTATGGTCTATACGACGACGTGGACCTGCATAGGCAACTTTTGTCACAAAATATATTACAATATTCAGGTGCGAAACTCGAAAAAAGTCTGTTTATAATGTAGCTAAAATCATCAAAATACCGAATATAGGGAGGTACCATGGGGGTTATAAAACGTGGACCTGCACAGACAATTTTCTGACACAGGCTGTAATATTCTTTACGAACTTCAAATACAAAATGTGAAATAATTCCTGTAAATAATGTCGCTAAAATCTTCAAAATACCGAATATCGGGTCTTCCGTTATATGGGGGCTATACGAAGACGTGAACCTACATGGGCCATTTTCAATACCAAAAGTCCAGTAGACATAATACACATTTGAGTAAAATTTTATCAACCTACTTCATTTCGTTCTAGAAGCTAGAGTGATTTCCACAGACGGATAGACGGACGGACATTGTTAAATCGACATAGAATTTTATGCTGATCAAGAATATATATACCTTGTGGGGTCTAAAATGTATATTTCGAGGTGTTACAAACGGAATGACAAGCTTAATATACCCTCCATACTATGGTGGAGGGTATAAAAATAGCTTGTTAGAGACCAGTAGTACTCCAAAGAGTAAAATTACATTTGTTTAGAAAAGCGGTTTAAACTTGAGACATTTAAAATCGGTCGGTACGGAATATCCTTTGAGGTTTTCTACTTGTTGCTGAAAATTAGATAAGATCTCGAATCGAATAAAACGTAACGACGTGATATTTAAGCCTTTTCAAAGCCATAATTTGTACTTGATACCAACAATGGTATAAGATATCAGATCCAGTCCAGAAAATCCTTGCCAATGTATATTTTTTGGTGTATGGGTTCACATAAATATACAGCTCCTACATATATTTTCCTCAGATTTCATATAAATTATTCTCCAACCATGCCAATTAAATTGGATTTTAAATTCTACGATTAATTTCCAACTATGATAAAGTGTGCCAAGGTCGGACCGAATTGGTTTAGATATAGACCTAGTTCCCAGATATCTTATTCACCCGTTTCACTCCCAAATTAATAATAATATTTATCATAACGGGCTTTTATTTTCAAGTATGGCAAAAAATGTACCCTTTTTATACCAAATATTTTTAGTACGATTGCAAAATGTTTCTAATATATAGTCCAATTATTGTATGAATTTCGCTGATTTTTTGGTACCAAAAAGCTTGAAAGTTTTTCAAGAGACAAACATCTTATGTTTTTAGCTAATGTTCTGAAAATATGTAAAAGTTGACATTTTTGGAGGGAGCCTCACCTCCTGGCGATGTCGGTACCGTACCCTTGCAGCATGAATTTCTAAAATCATACTTGCGTAATTTTTTGAAGATTAGGCCACTCCATAAGAATGAATCAATATTTAAGTACAATATTTAGTACTCTTGCCTTCTTACAACATGAAAAAAACTTTTTTCCGCGCTATTTTGGTTTTTACACAACAAATGACTAGAAACCAGTAAAGAAAGTCTTAAAGTCGGGCGGGGCCGACTTTATGATACCCTACACCACTTTGCTAATTTAGTAGAGCTCCACATAACAATTAAAACAATTAGGGAGAATTCAAACATACACGCTATGATTATAATTAAATTTTAAAGTTCAAAGGACTAAATACGGCGAAGGATTTGTATCTTTTAAATTCGGAATTGTATTGCCCATTTGGTGCACAATTAATTTGAAATCGGATAAAGATATATGTGGGAGCTATATCCAAATCTGAACCGATCTCGATAAAATTTGGCAAAGATATTTCTGAGTTGTATTTGATAAATTTCCCTGAATATCGTTGTTACGGAGTGTATATTACGGTTGTGGGTAAAATATAACAAATCGGACGAATAATATATATGGAAGCTATAGCTATATCTGAACCGATCTTCACCAAATTTGACATACTAGCTTCTAGACTCAATTCGGTCGCAAGTGCCAAATTCCAACCCATTTGGACAAATATTAGACGTTTGGTGCATAATAAAAGGTAAATCGGACGAATAATATATATGGGAGCTATATCCAAATCTGAACCGATCTCGATAAAATTTAGCAAATGTATTTCTGAGCTGTATTTGATATATTTCCCCAAATATTGTTGTTGCAGAGTGCATATTACGGCGGTGGTGGACAAAAATAACAAATCGGATGAACAATATATATGGGAGCTATAGCTATATCTGAACCGATTTCGATCAAATTTGGTATACATATTTTCAGGCCTAATTTGGGTGTATATGCAAAATTCCATACAATTTGGGCTGATATTACACGTTTGGTGCACAATAAAAGGCAAATCGGACGAAGATATATATGGGAGCTATATCTAAATTTTGACCGATTATCTCCAATTTCAATAGGGTTCGTCCTTGAGCCAAACAAATGATCTGTGCAAAATTTCATCTGGATCGGGCAATAAATGCGACCTGTACATGCATAAATCGACTCAGAATGTGATTCTATGCAGATCATCAAAAGGAACTATGGGTCTATCTCGTTTCCTTCTGCCTGTTACAAACACATGCACAAAGACATAATACCCTGACCACCTTGTGGTGTAGGGTATAAAAATAGAGATTCCTATATATTGTCTAGATTCTGGTCTCGGAACATAAAAATTAATCTTCGGTGAACTTTCGAATTATCTTCTTTTCTAAGCAAACATGAAAGAATTAGACTTATAGCTCAAAATATAAATTTATTTTATTGTATCTTTTTTCTCTCACAAAAATTTAAAAAGGAGATTTTTAAATAAAATTTATAGCAAAAATTTTTTTCACACTATTTCATTCAAAATAAAATATTTTTATTTAATACATAATTTTTTTAAAGCAAATATATACGTTTATTTTGATTTGCAATAATAAAATAATCCTTAAAATAATTTTCTTTTACTTACCTCATCCAACAGAGTGCTATGCATTTTGATGTCTGTTGTCCTTTCCTTTAATTTTTTTTATTTAATTCAAATTGAAAATTGATTTGTAATAAACACAAATTTAGCTAATGATTCACTTTCGTATTTTCCTTCTTTTGACAACAAAATTTCTTATATTACTTATTTTCTCTTTTTTCCTTTATTTAAATATTTAACGTATTTTCTTCGACAATATTTCTTTAAATCTTTTATGTGCTCCGCTATTTTCCTTTCGTGTGTGTTCACCGCTTAACTCTTAGTTCTGAACTGAACTAATTTGATTTTGGAAAATATGAAATGAGTTCTGTTCCCTAGAAAGAAATCGCCGTCTGTCAGCTGTCAGACACACAAACAAAACACACAATTGTCGCTAAGTGTTGTTGTTCTATCGAAGAACAGAAAAGAAAACAAAACAAATCCATGCGATCTCAGAGTGAATAAGAAATAAGAAAAAAAAAAGCGAAACGAAAACAACAAGAACAACATATGTACTACATGCTGTCAATCTCTACCCACAGAGAGATATGTAGATACTCAATCGCAAATCTATCTCGAATGTAAACGACGAAACAACAGTGGCATTTAAGTGTTGTCAATTTGATTTAATTTAGAATGAACTATGCGGAGATAAATTAATTTCTTACATTTAATAATTATTATTAAGAACATTTCGGTAACACCCAGGAAAAATACTTATGGCAAATTAGGTTACCAAGCCGTTGTATAAACAAGGGCATGTCACACTAAATAGGTAGTTTAATTTTGTGTAAAATAAGTACTTATTTATGGACTTTGGCTACTAAAAGTAGTTACATAAGTATTTATTTGACTTTTATTGGCCAGAAAATAAGTACTTATTTCGTGCGAAATGTGCTTGTGGAATAATAGGTTGGTAACCCGATTTCTAATGAGTATTCTTGTTGGACCGTGACCATGGTAGAAGAATATAGGTAGATGCATCAACGCTTGGGAACATTGATATGTCAAATTTTTTTAAGTGCCTTGTCAAAAATAAGTCGATTTTTATATGATTTCTTATACGACGTAAGTCGGAGGTTGCAATGATATGTATGATATGTATTTTTTGTATACAAATATAAATAATTTTTCATTCAACATTTTCCATTCCAAAATTGGTTTGACAGTTCCAGCAGCTGTGTCGATGCGACTACCTGTATTCTTCTACCATGACCGTGACTACTGACCAAACAGTGTTCAGACCCCGTATTTTGTAGTGAACGTGTCATAGGATGCAAGTTCTTATCAAAATGGCACCGAGAGTCAACATTTAATTTCAAACAAGTAAAAAGGGCATCACGTTCGGCGCGAATTATGCGAAATATTGCTCTTGGCCCTTGTGTGCTGAAAATTAAGCGAGGAAACTCATTTTGTAACCATTCTTGGGTAGCGCGTGCTGAGTGCGATGGTGCTGAGTCCTGTTGGAATGTTCAAGGTCTGCGGCCAAAATATTTGCGTGCCCAAGAATATATGAGGCGCGAGGTGAATGAAACCCTCCAGAATATTTTCGCGATAATATTCGGCATTTATTCTGACGCCGCTGTTATGGCGGCCCACACGATCACCATGGCCAGTGCTTGAGTTCTGGTGCCAACCGAAGTTGTATATTTTCAGCTGACACCTTTGGCAAGTAAACACGATCAAGCGAGGCAACTCTTTAGCTCTTTTGAGTCTATATTCTTTTTGTTGCGGTGTAAGTTCTTGCACTTTTTGGAATTTCAATGGCTTTACCCCGAGCTCATTTTTCAATATTTGCCGAATTGAATACTGCGATATGTTCTGCTCACGAGCCATATTCTGGCCACTGCAACGCGAGTTTCGATCAAGCCGCTTCTTTACTTTTCGAACCATTTCTGCTGATGTCGATGTTTTCTTCCGTCCACTTGCTTGACGTCGGGCTACGCTACCAGTATCACGGTAACGAGCGATGATACGAGACACAAAAGATTTATTTACATTTAAATGTTGGAGTGCTCTAACATTAGCAACTTGTGGTTTTCCAGCCAAATATAAAGAAATTACACTATCACGCTTGAATTCCATCACGAATATTTTTTTCTGGAAAAGTCTCACCAAAATGCTTTTGTACGCTTGTAAACAATATAATGAGCTGTCACTGGAATAATTTTAACAGCTGTCGGACGAGTGGCTTAGAAATGACAGCAGTCTGAAATTGGTTGCAGTTTTTCATCTCACCTTATAGAGGTAGAACCTATTATGAAATTTATGAATTATATTTTAAAAATTTCGTTTAAAAAGATGGGGGCTATAAAAATTCGTAGGGCGAAATGACCCATTTTGGAATTTAACCTGTCTATCAACAAAATACAAATATATGCAACATTTTAGCATTCTATCAAACTTGAAAAAATCGGCGAATAAAAATCATCAAAATACCCAATATCGGGAGGTGCCGTTTTATGAGGGCTATACGAAGACGTGGACCTGTACAGACAATTTTCTGTCTTAGGCTGTAGTATCTATTACGAATTTCAAATACCAAATTTGAAACATTTTCGGTGAATAATGTCGCTTAAATCACCAAAATACCGAAAATAGGCAGTTACCGTTATTTGAGGGCTACGTTGAACTACATCACCCATTTTTAATACCAAAAATCCTGCAAACATAATATACATTTGAGTAAAATTTTATCAACCTACTTCATTTCGTTCGGAAACTAGAGAGATTTCCACAGACGGACAGACGTGCGGACATTGCCTAATCGACATAGAATTTTATGCTGATCAAGAATATATGTACTTTGTGGGGTCTAATATGTATATTTCGAGGTGTTACATACGGAATGACAAACTTAATGTACCTTCCATACTATGGTGGAGGGTATAAAAAATCTGTTACAAAAAAATAAAAAAAAACAATTCAATTCGGCCGGGCCGAACTTTTAATGCCCTTCACCACCGTGTAGAGAGAAAAAATAAAAGTATCTGAATTCAAACGAGTTCCACTTTAAACTGCAAATACCACTAAGAGCGTTTGAATAATGCAATCAAACTTTTCAAAAACCCATAAAGTGTGTGAGGCCGATATATGGGGGCCATACTATTGCGAGTTATCAAAATACCGAATATAGGCAGGTGCGAAGAATGGATGGAATGGAAGAGAGTCCTTTCTTGAATTCCAAAGAAATCTTACGAAATCTGGAATTGTACAAATACTTTCAATTGTTGATGTAGTTACCTATTTCTTCCACTTTTTTTGGTTCCAGTTGTCAACACTGTCATATTTATCTTATAAATTCAATTCATGCCAACATTTACTTACGTTCTAGTCATGTTAATGTTTCTATTCTCTTTCTTCTGCCATTACAGGCCAGGCTCAGCACATTTGTGGACCGATCAGAATTCTCACTACGTATGAGATATCTCACATATGTTAAAAACGAACGAACGACAACAACAGTTGATTCGCACCCACATGCCAACACACTGGCTGTCTGCGTGTCGTCTGATTCGTATAATAGAAAACACATGTTCGCTGTTACTTAACATGGCTAACATATGCATTACAGACAGATTGTTATGTGCATGTGTTTTGTTGGTATGGGTTATTCCATAGCTATTATCAACGTAAAAATCCATTAAAATGGGATTAGTTGCCAACGATGTTTTAATGAGTAAACAGGTGAGAGAATAAAATGTATTTAAAATACCAAAATAATTACTGCTGAAAACAAAACGATTTGGCTTAATCTGGATATTGGAAAATTGACTCAAATTCGAAACTTAATTCGATTCAAAATTTATATTAATTTAAAAAATGGCATGTTTTATAGAGCATTTGTATAAAATCAGGGATATTAAGTTCATCATTCCATTTGTAACTCATCGAAATAATAATTTTAGACCCCGCGTATACAGTGTGAGATGAAAAAACTGCAACCAATTTCAGACTGCTGCCATTTCTAAGCCACTCGTTCGACAGCTGTTAAAATTATTCCAGTGATGGAATTCAAGCGTGATAGTGTGATTTCTTTATATTAGACTGGAAAGCCACAAGTGACTATCGTTAGAGCACTCCAGCATTTAAATGTGAATAAATCTTTTGTGTCTCGTACCATCGTTCGTTACCGTGATTCTGGTAGCGTAACCCGACGTCATGGAAGTGGACGGAAGAAAACAGCAACATAAGCAGAAATGGTTCGAAAAGCAGTGGCCGAAAAATGGCTCGTGAGCTGAACATATCGCAATATTTCATTCAGCAAATATTGAAAAATGAGCTCGGGGTAAATCCATTGAAATTTAAATAGTGCGAGAACTTACACCGCAACAGAAAGAAAATAGACTCAAACGTGCTAAAGAGTTGCTTCGCTTGGCCGAAAGTCGTGAACTACCAAATTTGGGTTTCTCCAATGAGAAAACATTCATTGTCCAGCAGTTTGTAAACAAACAAAATGATCATGTTTACTTGCCAAAGAGGTCAGCTGAAAATGTGCACCTTCGGTTGGCCACAAGAACTCAAGCGCCGGCCATGGTGATGATTACAATGTTTCGCCACACGAGCTAGAACCTATTATGAACTACAAACACCAATTTCTGGACAAACACGTTAAGAATGTAGGGGCTATATCAAAACGTGGACCTATACATACATTGTTTCACCATACGAACTAGAAACCATTATCACTTACAAATACCAATTTTTGGACAAATCCGTGGAAAATGTGGCAAAAAGCACCAAAATAAAGAATATCGAAAAGTACCGTTATATATTATACCAAAACGTGGACCGATATATCTCATGGTCAATACCAACCATCCTAGACACAATACAAATTATTCTGCTAAATGTTGACGCTCTATGTCAAATGAGTGCTGTATCGTGATTTCAACGGACAGACAGACGGACATCGTTAAATCGACTTAGAATTTTATGCTGATTATGACTATTACACTTTATGGGATCTATGACGAATACTTAGGGATGCTACAAACGTTATGACAAAGTTAATATGTCGTCCTTTCCAAGGTGGAGGGTATTTATTTTACTTTACGATGTAAACGTTCAAAGTTCCAACACATGTGTCGTATGTTTTTATACCCTACGCCACACTGTTGTACAAAAGGAAATGAAATGAACTCATACTTCCTTTTGATGATCTTCATAGTATCACATTCTGAGTCAATTTATGTCTGTCCGTCTGTTCACGTATTTTTGTGAACAAAGTACAGGTATTTGTAGTCGCATTTATGGTTGGATTGAGATAAATTTTTGATTGATTGGAGATAATCAGTTCATAGTAG